GCGGACCGGGGAGCGGCGGCGACATGGTATTGGGGGCGGGGGCGTGCAGACCCGCTCCGGGCCTGTTTTACATGTGACTGACCCACAAAACTGCAGGAGACTGAGGACTTGTAACAGGTGCGGGACAAGTTCAAAAGGAACTTGGGAAAAAACCTCTGTCTTTCTCAGTCGAAAGGGACAACAGAGCTCACATCTGGTCAAAATAATCCTCTGGAAAGTGGAGCAATATTTGTATGGAAAGATGACTGGGGGTAAAATCAGAGGAAATTGAGAAGTTACATTTATATCCTAACAGGATTTATAATGGGACAGAAATTTTAGGGTAAAATACAGGTGCTGTTCCCAGGATCAGACTGGGTTGGCATGCTCCATGATGATTCCCCATACAACCATAAGCACCTGCTCAGGGGGGGTGGAGTGGGATGGAGGCACCACAGCCAGGCTCTAACCAAAGTTCTTGAAGGGGCAGCAACTTGACGGTACTTTGAGGCTGATTAACTGCATAGCAGCTGTGAGCGAGGAAATGTCTTGCTGCCAAGCCAGCAACTGTGGAAAATCGCTTTCCTCAGATGAACATGGTTCATTATAGCCTAACTGTAATATTAATGCACACCTCCATGCCAAAGTTACCTGCCTTCAAGTAACGACAGCCTCTCACTGGGCATGAGCTCTGTACATTTTTTTGACTGTATCTTTGAAAGTGAAGTGAGAGGATTTTACACCAAGCAGTAGCAAATATATGCACGAATAGAGTCACTCAATCTTCACCTAAATGTAGAGAAATAGTATAAAAGCAAGCCAAGAATGGAGAAAAAGTTAGTGAAGGCTCCATCATAACTGCTGGGATCAGTCAATGGGCTGAACCTGTCTTCTCCCCCATAGGAACACCTGTTGGGTTAGAAATCCACTCTGCCTGCTGAATATTTTTACTGGGGATTCTCAGCTCCAGTACCTGGAACACCTCCTCCTTCTCCTTCTTAGCTGACTTTGGTGTCTACAGAGCTGTTTCTCTCACATATTCTCAGTCCTCACTTCTCTGGCTGCAATTGCTTCTGCCCAATAACTTTTCCCTCTTAAATATGTTATCCCAGACATGTTACTACCATGGCTGAAGGTCTCAGGCTTGGCCAGTGGCATTCTGGTGCCGGCTGGCATTGTCTCTGCCAGACATGGGGGAAGCTTCCATCAGCTTCTCGAACAAAAAGCCATTCTTGTAGCCTCCCTGCTACCAAGACCTTGCCGTGCAAACCAATACACATATGAACATCACAGAAGCCTAAATATAAGCCAGAATAAGTCCAATCTAAAGTTTTGTTACAGGTCTGCACATTCTTCCTCCTGCACAGGAAAAACATGCCAACTATGGCATAGGCACTCTGTTGAATATTTCCTGCATTCTTCTTTCCTTCTGGTTCTCTTCCCAGATTCAAAGGAGCTTCTGATCATGACCTTATCTAATGAACAGTGAGCAAGATACAGTTTGCTGAGCTTCTATCCATGCTGAATCACTCTTCCCATTGTGTATAAAATCAGAATCATTTATGGCAGCACTGATCTAGAGCATCAGCTTCACTCCAGCCTTCACATTAATTGCACAATTCACAAGTCACCTTGGTGAGTTGTTTCTTTCAATTAGATTGTCTCCTCAAGAACAAGAAGGAAGACCAATAAAGGATGTGTGAGGCAATAATATTGGGATCACCTTCAAATATTTCATTTATAGAGTCACAGAATGCTTTGGGTAGGAAGGGACTTCAAAGATCATCTTGCTTCAGCCCCATGCCATGGGGCTGGATCAGGTTACTCCAAGCCTTGTTTAGTGTGGCCTTGCATATTCCCAGTGACTCAATTGTATGAGAGAAGAATAAGTAGGACCATGAGTATATAAAAGATTTGATCTCTCAAGTAATTCTTCTACTTTGGGAAACTGAGTAGCATATTTTCACTGGTTACAGAAGCTGTTCCAAACTGTTGACTTGTTTGCTAGAGTTCTTTGATCACAGAAAGCTCGAACGGCTGCAGGACAGATTTGTCATTGTCAGACTGGTTTTTCTTTCAGTTCTTGTGGTCTTACAAAAGCTGCTTCTGTAGAGACTACCAAATCAAAACACATGTGGTATGGACCATGCTGGTAAATCATACTGGTGTTTATGAACCAATACGATGACAAGAACAGTACAAGTTACATTCTTTTGTTCGTTCCCTACACTAATAACAGCTTGAAATTCTTCTTTTCTATGTCAGAATATTTCCTTCCACACTCCACCACCCAGTTCTGCTAGTGCTCTTCACAAACTTGGTGTTACTTTTAGTCCATTTCAAACTGATAATCTGGGACACAGAATAAAAAGCAAATTGTATCCTGAAATTTGGCCTTTAAATTTTAGAAAGACAAGTCAAATACTGCTGCCCAGATTCAGTTTTTCTGAGGCTGAATTGCCTTTATGTGGCTAAGCTTCAGTATTTGTACAGGAACGTGCACTCAGATACACAAATATAGCAGTGTCTTTCTGTTCCTACTTCCATATTCAAGTTTATGGAAATTTTGTTTTGAAAAATGCTGTCTCTCCTTCCTTGTGACACCCTTCTGTCTATTGGCACAGCATTTTCTCCCAGCTTGATTTATACGCTATGCCGACGGTTGTTTATCATGGCCACAATGTGTGACAGGTCCAAACTTTTCATCATAACCTCCATGAACTCCTCATCTTTCCTTGCTCCCTCCACAAATTCATCCAGAGAAAGTTCACCTGTGTCAGACACAAATAAAGGGCATCAGAATCCACATCTGACAGGAAAAGGAGTACAATAATCTAACTTTAGAGACCACTTACTATATAGGCACTGTTCTAAAGCACTGTCCTAAAGACCTCAGAGAGTCTTCTTAAGCTTTTATGAAACATCCCCAGTATCCAGACAACGCCTGCTTCCTTATTTTCCCCCATACAAGAGAAGAGGTACGTAAGAAAGAACAATAGAAGTGGGTAGCTAAGGAGTGGGATCATAGCATTCTTTTTGGCTCAACCTGTCATAATACTAACCTGCTCTATACTTGCTGGTTTCCAAGGATAAAGGGACTGACAGAAGGAGGCTGTGACATAGAATCAAATTGTTTTTATGTCCTAGGCCAAAAAGCCCTTGTAAGGGAGGCAGCTCAGCAGAGTTATTCTGGAATGACTAAAGAGCCTGTCAGGAATTAATGAACACCTGAAGTAGCAAGGAAAGAGATACCTCTCAGGGACATACAGGGACCACAGTGACACTTGACCAACTTTTGACTGAGCACTTTATGTTCTTGCTGTACTGCCCACAGCAGACACAGTGAAGAAACTCTGAACTTCAACATTAAATTGCAGTTCTTCCTTTCCATACTGAAGTACTTAGGAGCAGCTGGGGCCATTTGATAATATTTCCCACTTCTAACTGACATGAGCTACACAGCAACACACAAAAAGGAAAACAAAACACCACTCCAAAACCCCACTACGAAACTCATGCGGACAGAACAAAGCTGAGACCAGTACAGGGAACAAATCCTGTCACACTGATTATGTGTAATGCCAGAAGAAAAATCCTTTTTGGTCCATGGAGAACACATTACTGGCTGAGAATGCAAATAGAAATAAAATATGAAGTGAAGAGGCCTAAAGTTCAACCGAGAAAGGAAACATTTGATGTTACTCTGTAGAAGAGACTGTCTGAGCTGGATGACAAAGGCAGGAACCTTACCGTCGCCATTCACATCAATCCTGTCGAAGACTCGGTTGGTGAACTCTTCTGCACTAGTTTCATGGTCACCACCATTAATAGCTCGAATAGCCTAAAATAAAAGAGGAAGAGTAAGCAGCTGCTGACAACTCCCAGACTGATTCCACATGTCAGTAGAATAAGACACTCATGCCTGGTACCTTCCCCACACAAATGAACCAGTACCACAGGAAAACAAAGCACAAATCATCAGGCCTTATGGATGGCACTGAAGGGTGCAAAGGGAGCGTGGCTCTGGAGCACAGAATGAGCAGCAAAACCCAGAGGATTGGCCTAATTCTGCTTAGGTACAGTTTAGGTGCTGTAGAAATGGTAGAATCAGAATCCACCTAATTGGTCCACTTTGTCCCACTTTGTGACCCTATGGTACACCAAGCCTCAGAAACACTGTCAAACACCTTCCACAATTGACATTATGAAATTCCTTTGTTATATGCTGTGGTAATTTATTTCTATTCTTACTTTCACAATTTTAATTTACATACTTCTTCCTGTGTGTTTGGCTTTTCCCTAAAGCTCACTGGAAATTCATTTTCATCTTGAGAAACTTTAAGCCTTATCCACTTCTGTTTGCTATAATTCTTCTTATTCATAACTACATAGTACAGAGTTCTCTTTTCTTCCAATGCTAATTATTTCCTTTGTTTAAGGATGTCCATGAAATATGTGATTTCAGAGCCTTTATACTGAATCTAAGACTATTCATTTTCTAGTTTTTCCCCTTTGATATTTGGTTATTTTATTAATTCTTTTTCAAATGCTATTTTACTGAAACTTATATCATTTCAGCAATTTCTTAAGGTTACCAAAAAAGACACTGAACTACATCCAAAAAAGACAAAGGACAATAAATTTCTTGCCACCAGTTGTTGCCCACAGGATTTGTTTCTCAAGAGCTCTGTGTTAACTATTGCTATCTGTTGCTTCACTGTAATGTTTGAGTATTTCTATTTAAAGCTACTAGTAGGAGGCTTTATGTTACTACAGGTATTGATCAGGTCTTTTTGATACCCAGCTCTAAAATTCTTATACAGATGAGAATGCATTATTAACATCTTATTAGTGCTTTATCAAATCAATTTTATGACATTTCATATTCAGAAATGCTATTTATTGAGGGTCATTGAACATTTCCTGCAATTACCTTGGTAATTTCCCATTATCTGCAAAATAATCTGAATTTGCAGCACAATTAATTCTGAGATATTTATAGTGATCTTTATGCCCATAACCCAACCCCATTCACAACAGCTATTTGCATACAATCCTTTCAAGTCTAAATCCTTTTTCTTCAGGGTATTCGTCAGAGTGAGAAATGTTTTATTATGTTAATATTTAGAAGCTGATTCTAAAAAGCAATCTGGGTGTGGCTCTCCAACTTCTCATGGGGAAAAGGACATATGAAGGACACACTGTAGAGATAGCAACTGAGAGTCACAGGGCCGGAAACCTTGGAAAGTGCAATTTAGGTCACAGGCAGCTAAAACAATTTTATGGTTAGCTATGCTGTAACATAAGATGTGGTGATAAAGAGTCTAAGTCTGCTTATTGCATTATACGGTGGTGAGGAATTCTGCTTAGAGAAGGAATGCTTTTACGGGTCTCATCCATGATCATCCATATGGGAAACAGCAAAGGTCTTACTTGTGTGATTTGTCTTTAAGGAAAGAGGCAAGAACATGACCCCTGGAGATTTACCTTGATGATGTTGAGCAGTTCATGTCGATCAATGCAGCCATTGCCATCTACATCATAGAGCTTGAAATACCACCGCAATTTCTGCTCCATCTTCCCTCGGAGAACGAGGCTGAGGGCAGCCACGTATTCCATGAAATCAATATATCCATCCTGTCAGAAAAAAAAAAAAACAACAAATTGTGACAAGAGTAAATTGAGGGAGATAATGCACTGGAGTTGTTTCACCTTATTGCTCTTTAGATTCACAGCTGAAAGAGAAAGGCCAACAAGTAGCACAGAGACTTTGACTTAGGAAAAATCTTTAGTGAACAGACACATGTTATTTCTCTAGCCACCAAATACCTGGGTTCCTAAAGTTATGATCTAGTACACAGAGCCTCCCCTCTGCTCACCACCTGCATCGAGGGAACCTGGTTGTCAGCATGAACAAAGCCCCCTCGGTACACCAAAGCTGACTGCCTTTGGGCTGCTGGGAGAGAACACTGAGCCCAGCCCATGGGCTGCAGGTTTCCTGCACTAGTCTACTCTGCCTTTGTGGGAAACTGCTATTCCACTAAGCCATAGATCTCTTTTCCATTCTGTGGAAAATAATGTGACTGGGAATATTTTGTAAAATACATAGAGTGTGATTTGATCACTGAAAAAAATGTTCAGTATTTAGGTTTTTAATATTTCATTTCTTGACTCTACAAAGAAAGTCAAAAAAGCTCTTGTTTCATCTGCAAGAAAAATGTCAGTTAGTAAAGGTTCATCAGCCCTAGATTTAAAGCCGACTAAAATGTGCAGCTGTTAAAAACAAACTACAAATAAAATACATATCTAGGTCAAAGATTCTGAATAACAATAATTCTTCAAGAAATAACAGAAAAAAAATGACATTTTCAATTATTAACGTATTTAATCAAAGTCAGATGCCTTTCTGAAATGGATGCAAATAAACATATATAAAAGGTGAATGCAGGTGAACTAGCAGACCACTGCTGTTTTGCAGCAAGGATCACCATGTTTAAAATACTCATTCAGGGTGGGAAGAAGGGTTGACAGGCTGAGAGAGTTATGGCAGGTCAGCCTGGAGAACAGAAGGTTCCAGGGACACTTTGGTGCCTCTTCCAGTACTTAAAGGGGGCTTAGAAAAAGGCTGGAGGGGTACTTCGGACAAGATCGTGTGGTGATAGGACACAAGAAAAATGGCCTTAAGCTGAAGGTGGGCAGATCAGATTTAGATTCCTTTAGGAAGGAATTTCTGACTGTGAGTACGGGCAGGCCCTGGCACAGGG